TTTTTTTTTATATTTTTCCTTGTATTTTGCGTATAGTTCTGAATCATTTTTAATATTTTCATATCCCTTTTTTTCAAGTTGTCTTTTTCACGCTAAAGTATCTTCTCTCTTCTTATTTCTTGGGATTTTACCTTTGAAAGCAGGAAAAAATAGATTAAACCTTGTCTAGCTGACCTAACTAAAAAACCTAAATAGTAATAATAATTTATTATATCATTAAAAGAAAACCAAATTTATTTATTCAAAGAGTAATAAAAATTATTTTAACTCATCAATTAACTCAAATATATAACTAGTAAGGATATTAAGTGTTAATACCTAAGTAATTTATAACTGAATTTCACGAGTAAAATGAATTTGTATTAAAAAATGGGTAATGTATCTTTAACCTGTTAGCAATCTCTTTAACCTGTGCATTTTCAACAGGGTAAAGACACACAGGTTATTGAGGAAACGTAGGTTAAAATGCGATACCAACAAAACGGTTAGTTTTTTTTAAGTATCACTTATAGAATCATATACAGGCACCTATTGACACATTTTAGAATAAAACATTTCGAAGCGATTAACATACAAACAAAAATAAATAGGTCAGATAATAGACAACATACCTGTTACAAAATCCGATTGCGATGTATCGATGTATTTTCTAAGAAAACAAACACATACTGATCGCTTCTTTCTTTGACAACAGGTAGCCCGATAGTGTCGGCCCATTTCGCGCTGGGATAGCGTGTTGTTAACGTTATAGTCTTTGGGTAATGGTCAGTAGTATGCAACACCAGATTGTGGAGAAAAAGTCTCTGGACACAATTTGGGAATAAATATCTCAAGAACTATATGTGTTTACGTGCAACAATCAAAAACACGTTAAAACAATCATATAACGAATTGTATTTTATTTTATTTAAGTGCTTATTGATAGGTATTAATTTTTTATTTCACCTCAAAGTCAGACACGTCGTGTTTGGACACGACAAGTTACTGAGAAAATGGCATTACAATTTTTAATTTTCTTAAATGTATTACTCTAAACTTATCATTTTCACTCGGCCTTTATGTATAAAGTCTCTTTATGTATAATTTTATGTAGAAAAGACTAGTAGCCCTAATGAAAAATACTCGTATCTACTAAAAAGTGGCTGACAGGTTACTGTGCCACTTTTTTGAGAACTACCCTTATGTAATAGTTGTTACTTATATTGCCTATGTGAAATAAAAAAATGATTTTTTGAAAAAAGAAACTACCTAATAAAAAATACGAACAAAATGGTTTTTGATTTACATGTAAATAAATACTTACCCTTTTTTGTTACGTTTAAAAAGTTATCAACGACATATTAATTTTATTATTTTAATACTGTCACACTATCGCCGTCAAAATTTTTTTCACATTATGTTTAAAACACATTTTCATATTATCGATATTATTTTTATCGAATGAGGCTACATAACTATCTGAGTAGAGACCCGCATTCGAGCCAGTGATAAGCCATTCAACTATCACCTTTATTCTTATGACGTTAAAGTTCAAACCAAGTACCACTTTTCGTCGCTAGATGGCGTTTAACAATGCCATCTAGCGACGAATCGCGGTACTTGGTAGTCCAAAATATACTTTTTTATTTTGATTTATAGTGCATTGATTTAAAGTTGCATATCGTATGATATTTTTTTTTACATTTCGTTTACGCCCATTTTTTTTTCTAACCAATCGTAACTTCCGATTTATAGTGTGAGTAAATTATAAATGTATTAGTTTGGCGACACCGGTTCTGGCAGAAATATTGTTTCAAGCTACTTCCATTGTATTCTATATTCCGTGGTTGTATCTACTGTAGAGCCTAGTGCAAGGATAAAGAAGCAAAAAGCAAAAGGCTCGCATCTGTTTACAGCGTAAAAAAACATTTCATAAGATCAAGATATTTTTTTTTAATGACATAAGTCGGTAAACCGGCACACGGATCACCTGATGGTAAGCAATCGGCGTCGCCCATAGACACCTGGAACACCAGTGCGTTACCGGCTTTTTGGGGATTAGGAGTTTGAGGATCGTTGGGGTTTTTTTTTTTTTTATAATTGATGGGGCGACGTTTGACCACTATCTCACCTGATGGTAAGCGATGATGCGGTCTACGTTGGAGCACGTCGTCCCATAAGCAACCTATTCACTCGGGCCTTGAAGACTCCCAGGTTATACCCTTCAGGAAATACAGACTCTGGCAATTGGGATTCAGGAATTGGGGAGATTGGGGAAGGGGAGGGTAATTGGGCCTCCGTTAACCCCACTCACACGACGAAACACAACGCAAGCGTTGCTTCACGTCAGTTTTCTGTGAGGCCGTGGTATCACTCCGGTCGAACCGGCCCATTCGTGCCGACTCGCATGCATGGCTCTCACACTTATTTGATATTATGAAAGATCCCGTTACTAATACTGACACATACCCATAACATAAGTAGAATAGCTACAGCTAGTCTTGCATTCCCATCCACTTTCAGGATGAGACTCTCTGTCAACCCTCCGATGTACTCGATGAGACCCAACTTCGACAAGGCCTGTAAAAGACAAAATCACTTTCAATACAAGCACTAGTTACATTTTTCGGTGGTAATGTGATTCATAGTTTTACATTTGCTAACAAAACTGAAGTAACGTAACATAATAATAATATCACGCCTTTTATCCCCGAAGTGGTAGGCAGAGGTGCAAATTACGGCAATTAATGCCATTGTACAATGTAACAACAATGGACCTCCTATCAGTATCTCTAAAGCTTACAGGACCTTTTGTATCAGAACAAAATGAGAAAAAATTCAATTCCAGTCAACTTATGTCCATGGGCAAAATGGATGTTTGGGTGGAAAGTGCTCCAACTGCTGCGAAGAACGAAATAAGATATCTTTGTGATGATGTCAGGATTCCCCGAATGCCTAACAATCCTCGAATTCCTTATCGCCAAAAGGCCGGTAAGGCACTTGAAATACCTTTGGGGTTCAGGATATCCATCCATGAGGTGATCCGTCTGATCGTTTATCGGCTCATCACATAAAAATTCTACCCCTGGTCCAAATCTCATCCTGATCTCATAAGCCGCTTTGACGTGATTCAGTAAAAATCAAACACATAAACTTACTTTTCACATTTATACTATAACATAACATCACGCCTTTTTATCCCCGAAGGGGTAGGCAGAGGTGCACATTATGCCACTATACAATGTAACACCCACTTTTCACTATTTATGTTATGAGTCCCATGTAATAGGGGGTGAGCCTATTGCTATATACCGGGCACATTTCTAGACTCCGTACTACCACTGAGATTTTTTTTTAAAAACCCAGTAGTGGCAGTAGTAATTTGCCCGACGCGGGAATCGAACCCGAGACGCCTTGCAGTCGTCTCGGGTCGGGCCGAGCAGTCGCACTTGCGACCACTCGGCAAACGAGGCAGTTTAATAAAAAAACTGAAGTAATATCGTTACAATACTCAGCATTTATAAGGCTTGGAGATTGCATAAATGGATTTGGACGGAAATTGATAAACGTTTAAAGGAAGCCGTCATCCATTACTTGGTAACTAGTCGCAGTAGAAATGAATATCATCCAGGCATTTTTTTTTAAGGGGGGAAAATCATCGAATGACCTCTCCCGCCTGGGTGAGGCGGGAGGGAGTGTCAGACTCTTACTGACTAAAAACCACCCCGTTCCTACTCCTGCACTTCGAGTCGGAGCCCCGGTTACCCGTTAGGTTTTCCGCGACTCATCATCCAGGCATAAGACTATCACAGCTAAACACAGGCCTCTTCGAATGACTTACTGATCGATCGGCAGGATTTGCTCAGCTAAATAGAATAACGATTAAACTTACTAGCAAGTGAGTTTATTACTGCAAATAAGCTACAAGGCAGCACTTTTACACGTCAATTATATCAAGCGCACGATGAGGCCGACATTTCCTAACTGACTACTCTGAGAAGAAATGCTGAAACAAACTCAGAGATCAAAAGTTTAATTAATAGTAGTTATATTACCTCCATGAGTACGAAGAGCGCGGCGAAGAAGAGCAGTGTGGACCACTCGATCCTGTGCAGTATCGGCTCCAGGTCCTCGCGGTCCGCCAGCGTCAGCAGCAGCAGCGCGCCCAGCAGCGCCGTCCAGCCCAGGGACACTCGGTCTGGGTACACAAAACACACACACTGATAGACTATGGCCTATAAGACAAAGGGGTTTGCCATAATGTTCACTATTTGTAGGCATAAACTTGAAATACATTGATGTTCAATGAGTGGGGATGATGACAGGGTATAAAATTCAAAAATCTAATTAGTCCGTCAGTTAGGTAATGAAAAAATATTAGACACGGATGAAGATGTGATATATAAACAATAAATGTAGTCACAGGTCAACGGTGTCGCACCACACACTTCCCATCTGTTAGAAGTGGCGGGCGAACGTTCCCTGGAGCGGTGCACTACTTACTATAAACAAAGTTGTTTTATTATAAATTTCCATATTCAAATCAGTGAACACCACATAAAACGAACCAAAGTTTAGGAGTGTGGGTAAAACGTCATTTCTATGTAAAAATCTAAATATAAGTGACGTCACGTGACATTTCAAATCAATATATCGTCGAAAGTATTCGGTTTTGTTAAAAAATAAAAAACTAATGATTTAAAATAATCTACCAGACGGACATTAAAATAAAAATTAGGCATCTACCCTATTTTAATAGGCGTGTCGACAGGGTAAAAAAATCAAAAAAGTAATTAGTCCGTCATTAAGATCGCACGAAAATATCAGACACGTATTTTTTGTTTTATCAAATTAACAGAAGAATACGTAGTCATTCCGCATTAAAGTTAGGGAGTGGGGGGTGTTGACGTCACACTTACGGAGAAATCGTACCTAAGTGTGACGTCACGCGTCATTTTAACTCAAAATATCTACATGTTTTTTTGGATACGAGAAAAACGAAAAAATACGTATCGAAGATTTTTAAAATATCTAAAAGACGGACAAAAAATTAAAAAATAGTCGCCATGCCTATTATGTAATAATATAATTATGTTGCTAAAGTATTGTACAGTGTATGACTGCACGGTTGGTGCGGTGGCTGGGCAACCGGCTGCCGAGCAACGTGTCGCGGGTTCGATTCCCGCACGGAACAACACTTTGTGTGATCCACAAATTGTTGTTTCGGGTCTGGGTGTGATGTGTATGTGAACTTGAATGTTTGTAAACGCACCCACGACACAGGAGAAAATCCTAGTGTGGGGCAACGTTTTTTTAAAAAAATAAATAAAAAAAAAAAAATAAAAAAAAAAATTTGTATATTGTATAACTTTGCACACTTTATTGTAAAAAATAATACTTCACAATTTACACTTACTGAATTCAGGCAGTGAATGCAGAAAGAACACGATGACTACAAATGCGATGGCCACCGTACACTTCACCAGTAATACTTTGTCTCGGATCTTGTACTGCAAGGTAAAAAAATTTAGGGTTTAGCATTAGCTACGCAGGGGATGTAACAGTGCATAAGTTTAGTATATGCATACTCTCACAGCTCACACTCTCTGTTCACTCACTCTCATATTGTGTGTTATGAGATGATCGAGATATTAGACGGTAGAGGAAAAGGTATTGTTCTTTCGTATCTGAACGTCATGTGTACCTTAAAATAAAACAAGAAAAGGACTGGTTTGACTGTAGAGACTACACGGCTTCACAGGAAACCGGTATGAAATAAAACTTTTATCAAGTTTCGCCTTGTCCCAGTCCCCATGGTCAGCAAAACACTTGTAGCTTTTATGGTGTTGAGGGTCTCCACGAGTAGCGCTGATCGCTTACCTATTTTTAACCCTATATTCCTAAAAAGTTTAGTTTTCCCACCTTGTCCTTCATATCAGCCAGCATGGTCTCGAAACACTCCTTAGGACAGGCTCTGATTTTGGTCTCCTTGACCAAGGCCTCCAGCCTGCCTGTCAGCTTCCGAACTTTACGATCCAGCCGTTCCCTGACCACCAGCTCATCTCTGCTTAGATGAGGAAGAGAATCAGCTGCTCGCCGCCATATTGAAATCTGATGACGGAGATCTGAAAAGAATGAGAGAAATGCTGCTGAGAAGGTCCTTAAAAGGTCACTACCTCTACAATCCTGCGGTGAGAGTATCCATCATTCCTGACGGATTCGACTAAGGAACCCCATATACTAAACCTAACTGTTCTCAAGATATCGGCCTTTCAATTTGTTCTACCTCTATAAAAATTCCAGATCTTGGTCGATTGCCCCCTTTTTTATTTAACCTGCCACCCTGTAGAGTTCACAGGGGGGGTCCAATAAGGCTGCCGCGGAGAACGTAAAACTACCGGGGCTCCTGCTCGAAGTGCAGGAGTAAGAACGGGGTTATTTTTAGTCAGTAAGAGTCTGACACTCACTCCCGCCTCACCCAGGCGGGAGCAGTCATTCGATGATATTCCCCCCTTGAAAAAATTCTGTGTAGTTAAGTATTAAGTATAAATAAATAAATAAATAAGACGTACCTTGAATATCCCGGGGCTCATTAAGCCTCAGTTTGTCAGTGTCTCTGTAGATGAACCTGAATTGGAAGTATGTCTGCACGCATACCAGTAGGATACCGAAGGTCATATGCAGCGTGAAGTTGGTGAAGTTTATACCCTGATGATGAGAGGAGATATCATTAACGAGGGTCCATTGTAATTATTATTATATCAGTGTCAAGACGTCCACTGCTGGATTAAAGAGTACTTTAATCCAATTCCGATCGATCGACATTGACATTGTGAAATTTCGTATTCTTGAGTTGCAACACTAGCGCCCATTGCATCCATATTGCGTGTATATCTATAATATCATATGACGCCTTCGTCGCATTTGACCAATGAAGACAAGTCATTATCTTCATTTATTGTCATAAAATATTCCGAATTAGTTTCTCTATAATCCACAGCGAAGGCAAAATCAACCATAAAAAAGTTAAGTTAAAATTCTACTTACAGACTGAACGACAGCTTTATTGGACGCGATGATGACATTCGGGGGGTCACCGACTGGAGTTACAGTGCCGCCAATATTACTGAACAACACCATTGACATCAGCACTGGTATGGGGTCCAAATCCATGACTTCACATAATCTGAAATATAAGAGAAACAATAAAGATGATGACGGGGTATGAAAATTAAAAACACGTATTTAGTTCGTCAGTTAGATAATGAAAAATTATTAGACACGTAAAACGACTCAAAGTTTAGGAGTGGGAAGTTAAAACGTCATTTTTAAGTATAAGCCGGCCCCAGAAGTGAGGTCACGCGACATTTCAAATCAATATAATGACATATTATTACATGTCTGCCGTGTCGGTCGTATATGTCGTATTTGTCGTGTCGGTCGTGTTTGTCGCGTCGGTCGTATCTCTGTCGTATCTGTCGTATTGGTCGTATTTGTCGTGTCGGTCGTATTTGTCGTGTTTGTCGTGTCGGTCGTATTGATCTATTTGTCGTATCGGTCGTATTTGTCGTGTGGGTCGTATCGGTCTTATTTGTCGTGTCGGTCGTAATGGTCCTATTTGTCGTATTGGTCGTATTTGTCGTGTCGGTCGTATTTGTCGTATCGGTCGTATTTGTCGTGTCGGTCGTATTTGTCGTATTTGTCGTGTCGGTCGTATTGGTCGTATTTGTCGTGTCGGTCGTATTTGTCGTGTCGGTCGTATTTGTCGTGTTTGTGGGGCGGTCGTATTGGTCGTATTTGTCGTGTCGGTCGTATTTGTCGTGTCGGTCGTATCTGTCGTATTTGTCGTATCGGTCGTATTTGTCGTGTCGGTCGTATCTGTCGTATTTGTCGTGTCGGTCGTATTTGTCGTATTTGTCGTGTCGGTAGTATCTGTCAAATTTCTAGTGTCGGTCGTGTTTGTCGTATCTATCGTATCTGTAGTGTCCGTCGTATTTGTCGTTGCAGTCGTGTCAGTCGTATTTGTCGTGCTTGTCGTGTCGGGTGTGTCGGTCGTGTCTGTCATGTCGGTCGTGTTTGTCGTGCCTGTCGTATCGGTCGTGTCTGTCGTGTGTGTCGTGTTGGTCGTGTTGGTTGTGTCAGCCGTGCCTGTCGTGTTTGTCGTTCTTGATGAAAATAATTGCACCTAGATACATAATTATGTCCTAAAATGGCGACTAGCCAAAGCGGGTCAGCCTTGAAAGAAGGAGAATTTAATCAATCATCAAATTTGATTTGACTCTATTTGAATTTGAGGTCTCCTGATTGTACCTCAATTGCTCTATCCCCATTCGGTTATTTTGACTGCACGGTTGGCGCGGTAGTTGGGCTATCGCGCTATCTGTTATAGGTTCGGTTTCCACACGGACCACTCTTTGTGTGATGCATAGATTGTTCTTCCGGTTCTGGTTGTGATGTGTACATGAACTTGTATGTTTGTAAACGCACCCACGGCATAGGAGAAAATCCTAGTGTGGGACAATTTTTAAACTTTTCCTGACTCGACTCCCTGAGGATCCTCGAAGACATGATACCTCGACTAATGAGGTAGGTCATTTTATTATAAGAACTACTCAGTACTCACCTAATAGTGACTGGTGTCATAAGCAGAACTGTCGTCACATTGTCCAGAAATGTGGATACGATTGCTGTGATGGCACTTAACAGAGTTATCAATGGCCAGATCTTGCCTTTTGTGACCTGTAAAATAAAAAACATAGATTAAATATTCAAAATGTCAGAATGAGACAATGTTAAATGATATTTCTTTATTCTGGTCTTTATTAGGTTTTGAAGTTAGTATTGAGTTTTTTTATATCGGAACAAATCTTTTTTGCGTTTTAAAGAGTATTGCCAGTGTGGTCTTATAGAAATTTGGATTAAAATTAAATCGTCAATGTGGCAAATGGTTCAGGGAACTCCTCAAAAATTGACGGCATACGGTTTGCCGTAAAGTTTGAATGACGTACACCGGCTTATCTTACTAACGCCACTAAATTTTAAGTCGCGCTTAGTTATAGTTCTATCTCTACAAATTCTTTGTAAAATGACAGAGATGGCACGATATTTTTGTACAACTCCCACCACTCCTCGCTGTGCCTGCGGCCAGAACCAACTTGCTGGCAAAGGCTCTCACTAGAGCCATAAATGTCTTGAACGAAGTTCGTGAAAGGGTAGAAGTGTTGAGTTGCGGTGTGAGTGTGTGAGTGAATTCGTAAAAGTCGCCTTGTACATAGAGGTATTATGTTACTCAAAGTTAAGTTAAAATTATTATTAATTAACTTATTTTAACTTAACTCTATGTTTGTTCATTGTTACGTAGTAAGTATTGCACCTTTGATGTCGTGCCCTGTTGTTAGAATGATCTCATTTAGGTATTGTAATAGATTAATGTTATGTTTTAAGACTAGTATGATAAGTATGTTCTATGATAATGTATAAGTTTTTTAAACTTAACAAAATAATTGCTTCTTTTTCTTTTTTTTGTAATATTTCTTTTTTATTTGTATTTTAGTATTATCGATTATTGAGTTTAGTTTGGCCAAGAATTTGTTTATTTTTGTTTTTCTTTATGATTTTATTATATTTGCACGTAACATAGATTTAGTTTTTTAATGCCTAGCTATCGCAATAGAAACCTGTCATGATAGTTTGGGTAAGGTTTTATATAAATATAAACTTATAATTGAGTAGCCTTTCAGTAATCTTATTGAAAAATAGCAGTGCGTCAAGTTAATTTCTGATATTAAACAATACTAGACCATTTCCACAATCCAATCAGACGGACACACACTGTCCTAGTTAGATAAAGGTAAATTTTAATTACTACAACATTGTAGGCGTCAATCAGTGGTCGCATATCAAGTATTATATTAAGAGTTATCATTAAGTACTTCAGGAATACTTGATGAATCACACGTGTGCCTACAGATAATAAGTCGCGTGCAAACTGTTTGCTCTGTGCCACAATGGCTGGTGAGTTGGCATTGCGTACGACTTGTAATAACATCGTTATAATTATCATGTTTTTTATAGGTACCCTAAAGATATAAGATACCCGACAGAGGTGCTCAATGCTCATATTAACGGTTGTACTTTATTTTGACTGCCTCGGTGGCCGAGTTATCGCAAGTGCGACTGCTAGGCTAGGCAATGGGTCTTGGGTCTGGCAAAGTTTTACTGTTTTTTTCTTTAATTCGCAGTAGTAGCACGGAATTTGAAATCGTGCGATATATGGCAATAGGCTCACCCCCCATTACATGGGAATCATAGCATAAATAGTGTAAAGTGCGTGTTACATTGTACAGTGGTATTAAGTGCTGTAATGTGCACATCTGGCTACCCCTTGGAGGGTAATGTTATGTTATGTAATTTAAAACAGATATTATTCAAAAACCTCTAGTCTGATTAAGGGTTTTTGGAAACCTTTCAAACATTTTAGATTCGGATTTACATCTTAATTTCGGCCGTTAATGTTACGCTTGTCGTGTTTTGAGTTGTACGAGTTAGGGTTGGGCCCGTGCACAATTTTAGATATTGTGCTTTACTGAGTGTCGAAAAAGTTATGCGGAAATTGCATTTCAGACTCTTTGTTCGACAAGAATTACTTGTGACATCTCGATCAAATAGATAGACTGTATTTTATAGTAAATTTTCAAACAAGAACAAAGTTCCTAGTTTGACCTGTATGTATGTAGAGGTATGTATGCATCATACGTTTGTGCGCGATTACCTCGTCATTGGCTGAACCGATTTTGATAAAATTGTTTATTACTCTTAAGAGAAGGTTTTAATATATTAATTAACCGGTTTTTTTGACAACACGGTTAGTGCGGTGGCTGGGCAACCGACTGCCACGCAAGGTGTCGCGGATTCGATTCCCGCACGGAACAACTCTTTGTGTGATCCACAAATTGTTGTTTCGGGTCTGGGTGTGATGTGTATGTGAACTTGTATGTTTGCAAACGCACTCACGACACAGGAGAAAATCATGTTTAAAAAATAATTATCAATGGTATAATCAATTTCTGAACTTCTGTGCTTCTAATGATATCTTCTGATTATTTGCTTCCAAATTATTACAGAGAAAGCCATATCACCCAAGCAAAGGCATGGTTAAAACCTAGCAGATATAATTATGGACATATAGGTACTTATATTATGACACTACTAATGAACTAATGAAACACAGAATGACGTTTCGTCGCACGTGATTGCACTTCAAAGGAGATAAAGCCAGCATTCATTGACGACTGATTGCATGCTTAAAACTGCATAGAATACAATATATATGTAGTTGTTATTTATTGCTTAACACATAACATAAAGGAATCAATTGAAATGTTTGTGTTATGTTCAATATGAGCATTGTATTACACTTCGGGGTTTCAAAGGCGTGTTTTATAATAATATGGAGGTTTGGTATCACGGTAAATTTTCCATTTTATGTAGTAACCTTTTGGTTGATGATACATAGAATAGTGTTGAAGGCTAGCGTAGAAGTTAGTCATTTTTAACCGAGTTCAAAATCTCCTCTGCCTGCCTCGTTGGCCGAGTGGTCGCAAGTGCGATTGCCGGGCATGGGGTCTCAGATTCGATTCCCGGGTCGGGTAAAGTATTACTGAGTTTTGAAAAAAATCTCAGTAGTAGCACGGAGTCTGGAAATGTGCTCGGTATATGGCAATAAGTTCACCCTCTATTACATGGCACTCATAACATAAATAGTGAAAAGTGGGTGTTACATTATACAGTGTCATAATGGCCTCTGCCTACACCTTCGGGGATAAAAGGCGTGATGTTATGTTATGTGTTCAAAAACAATGAGGATCTCAGTTCGACCTACATATGTATGTACCTCTATGTACGTATATTTGTGCGCAATTATCTCGCGATTGGCTGAACTGATTTTGATGCGGTCTTCAGAAAGAGTGTTCGTTACGCTTTTTTTTTATTTATTTTTTAATGGGGGAAAATCATCGAATGACTGCTCCCGCCTGGGTGAGGCGGGAGGGAGTGTCAGACTCTTACTGACTAAAAACACCCCGTTCCTTCTCCTGCACGTCGAGCCGGAGCCCCGGTTACCCGTTAGGTTCTCCGCGACTGTTTGTTACGCATTTTTTTTAAGGGGGAAAATGAGTAGGTTTCATGGCGTTTTTTCAATCACAAGTTTATTCTAAACTGTTGAATAAAATTGATCTTTGTCAGTATTGAAAAATTAACAAATATGTCAAGGTTATTAATTTATTAAAATTTATCTGGCTTTGGAATAACCAGCTCTTACCAGTTAAAAACCGGTTACATTAATTAACCAACTTCAAAAGAAGAGGGGGTTGCAGTTGTTGTTTTTTCAACGTAGTCTATAAAATAATTATTGCCTCAGTCCTATGGCGTTGCAAGTGCATTAGTGTCTGTATGTAGGGCATTAAAAGAAAGTTATAAGAATAATAGTATATACATACGTACATACATCAACAGCCTATAAATGCCCACGGCTGAGCAAAGCCTCTTCTCACACGGAGAAGGTTTGAGCATTAATCACCACGCTTGCTCAATGCGGGTTGGCGATTTCAAAATTATAATTAGAAATTATAAGGCCAGGCTTCCTCACGATGTTTTCCTTCACCGTTTGTCAGTGGTGTCTAAATAATCTTAGAAAGTACGTACATATAACTCGGAAAGTCACATTGGTCCTTGCTGTTGGTAGGTTTCGAACTTGCACCCTTATGCATGAGAAGCAGGCGTCTTAAACTACGACGGCGGCTACTACGTCGACACAAAGACACAACGAACAAGAGTGCTCTCATCTTACTCGAGTAAGATGTCTAATCGCAAAAAAGGATAGTTTTTTTTATGGCATAAGCCGGTAAACGAGCAGACGGATCACCTGATGGTAAGCAATCGGCGTCGCCCATGGACACTTGGAACACCAGAGGCGTTACAAGTGCGTTACCGGCCTTTTGGGGATTAGGAGTTTGAGGATCGTTGGGGATTCAGGAATTGGGGAGATTGAGGAAGGGGAGGGTAATTGGGCCTCCGTTAACCTCACTCACACAATGAACCACAACGCAAGCGTTGCTTCACGTCGGCTTTCTGTGAGGCCGTGGTATCATCCCTGTCGAGCAGGCCCATTCGAAGCATGGCTCTCCCACACTTAAAACAGTTGCTCCAGCAACAGAAATATTATGAAACCCTGTCGTACCACTCGAGAAATTAGCGGTGGAACTAACTAGTCGGCACTATTTGCACAGATAACTTCATAATATCTTTGTATGTTGTGATAACGCCTACCCGTCTTATCTCAACACTTCTAGAGATAGTTTGAGATAACTGTGAAGATCAGGGCAATCTCTGCACTATGTTTATTTATCATTAGGTTAGAAAATGTTACAGCTGAGAGCTTGGTTTTAGCATTGGTCTCTTCACTATCACTACATAGTATAAAACAAAGTCGCTATCCGCCGTCTGTCTGTCCCTATGTATGTTTAGATCTTTAAAACTAGGCAACGGATTTTAATGCGGTTTCTTTTAACAGATAGAGTGATTCTGATGATAAAGTATTATATGAGACAGACCTCTGAGTTTGTTTCGACATTTCTTCTCAGAGTAGTCAGTTAAGAAATGTCGACCTATCCGTTCGCTTGATAAAATTGACGTGTAAAAGTGCTGCCTTATAGCCTATTTGCAGAAAGAAATTTAACTTGTTTCACTTATGTATAACAGATGCACAATATAGTAGAAAAACACTGATAAATTTAGAGGTTTCGAATGTGATGTCGGAAATAAGCACGTTTTTTTGCGCTTATATTGCAAATGCTTGCTGAACCTAACCTAAAAACCTAAAAATTATTATGTTTTCAATTATTGTTTTTCAACAGAGACGGTGGCTGGGCATTACCACCTGCCTGGAAGCCGAATCTGAAATCTGCGTCACGCTACAGTGTCTGGAGTGTGACAAAGTGAGTGCGGTATGTAACACTGTTTTTGCGTCGACCCGGGATTCGAATTCAACAACACCAATGCAGCTGCCGGGGGGCGAGTCTAGCGTGCCAACAGTGCCGCGCGCGCCGCCGTCGCCGATACCACGAATGAAAGAAAGTGCGCGGGAATCACGGCAGAGGGCGCGCTGGGCACACTCCAGTAGCCAGTAGCAGCGACAGTCGCCGCGTCGCGGTTCGCGAAATGCTGCTCATGAATATGAGCCTCTAGCATGGCTTGAAACTAGTCGAGTTCCTCGTCGAATCGTCGAAAACATAATAATTTATTCTTGTATTGTTGTCTTCGTGGAGCATAGTAAACAGTTTTTCTTTCTTCCGTTATCATTTGTGTCATGGTTATATTGTACAACACACACTCAAGTCCAAAAGAACAACATGTGGATCTTAGATTTTCATAAGCTATTACTTCACTGTTTGGCTTTTATTAAAAATCGTGGAGAAGAGAAATAAAAGAACAAAAAACACGCATTTCGATATGCAAGTTACAATTGATGGTCGCGTTCACTGACGGCGCATTATTGGAGACATAATAATGTATAGTCGTGGACTTAAATACGCTGATGGTAATGATACCGGTAATTAGCATCGTATCTATACAGATAAATAGAATTGGAGCATCTGTTTGTAATATTAAAACAACCGCTTTTTGCTACATGCATATGAATATTTCCAAAATTTGTCTGTCTGTCTGTCTGTTTGTTCGTACTGGCTAATCTCTGGAATGCCTGGACCAATTTTGCAAGACTTTTGTTGGCAGGTAGCTGATGTACCAAGGAGTAACATAGGCCACTTTTATTTTGGAAAATTAAAAACAAAAAACAGTTACAATGACTATCGTGGGACACACTTAATTAGGTAGTTTGGTCAGTAGGCTGCGCGACGTCACTACGACCGCGCACGCTGCTCATTAGCAAGAGCTCTCTGTGATTCGAAACTAGTAGAGCTTTACTCAGTATATTTACGTGGGTAACCCGGAATTTTCGGTTACAATCAGTTATGTTCTAAAATTCACTTGCTGCCTCTTTGGCCGAGTGGTCGCAAGTGCGACTGCCGTGCAAGGGGTCTCAGGTTCGATTCCCGGGTCGGGCAAAGTATTAATGGGTTTTAAAAAAATCTCAGTCCTAGCACAGAGTCTGGAAATGTGCCCTTTATATGGCAATAGGCGTCCCTATTACATGGGACTCATAACATGAACAGTGGAAAGTAGGTGTTACTTCTGTGTGCACCTCTGCCTACCCCTTCGGGGATAAAATGCATGTTCTAAAATTCATATTGTACGTGGAGGAAGTCACAGGTAACAGCTAGTAAGACCTATAGATGTCTAAAAGCCAACGTACCTCAAAAGTGAAAACAGCTAAAAAGTCGAACAGTCCAGTTTCCGCCATGATGGAGACCAGCAGCATCATACTGAACAGCAGGAGTAGTGTCTCCACGTCTAACCAGGAGATCAGCTCAGGTAATGTGGGTCTTTCACCAGCTATGGATAAAGCTGCTAATGATGTAGTGGAGATCAGAACTGCTGCCATCGTCCTGTTTATGACCTGGAAGGTTAAAGATTAAGTTTTAATATTTTAGGATACGAGATACGACTATGATTTCTAGGTAATGTAAAGAATGAGTGTACCTAAAATATAATACACTGATGTTCAAATACTTAAACACCACTTCATTTTAACTCGTCGAGTACCGTCATTATAGACACAATTATAGAACAATAGGTTGCGGTCACCGGTGACCGCTTGGTATTTGACAGTTTAACTCGTCGAGTACCGTCATTATAGACACAATTATAGAACAATAGGTTGCGGTCACCGGTGACCGCTTGGTGTTTGACAGTTTAAACTGTCAAACACAAAACCGGTACTCGACGAGTTAAGAAGCTCTCAGAAATAGTTCTGCCATTGCATTTTTTTTGTAAAATGACAGAAATAGAACTATATTTAAGTACAACTCAAAATAGGGTAGTTGTCAGCGTATCAAAATTAAAAATCTAATTAGTTCGTCAGTTAGATAATGAAAAAATATTAGACACGTATTTGTTTATTTACTCGTATTAAGTTGCAATACTTAGATAAAATGGAGCTTAGTTTAAAAGTGGGAGGTCATAACGTGCTACAGAATGTGGCACGCTGTGACGTCACACGATATTTCAAATTAACTCGTCAAGTACCGTCATTATAGACACAATTATAGAACAATAGGTTGCGGTCACCGGTGACCGCTTGATGTTTGACAGTTTAATATATCGTCGATATTATAAAAATAGCTGGTGAAAAGTGGAAGACAGTTGCCAAAGATAGGGATATATGGAAAAGTCTGGAGGAGGCCTTCACCCTCACATAAGAGGGGTTCTTGCATGCGTGCATGATGTATTATTATAATTTATTCACCTTATAGATTGAATATTCTTGGAATTTTATTTATTATAAATGTACATAAAATTGAATTTATTATAACTATTTTAAATGTGTAATTAAATCGATATAAAAGTAATTCTAAATCAGTAATTGAATTCATTTAATGATGATTCACATAACTTTTATAATTATTAATGTGAAATATAAATAATTTTACATAAGGAACAATTATTTAATCATTTTTAATTTTTCATGTTTCCTTTGTTATGTTATGTTTTTTTTCATGTTAAGTAATTTTGCAAGAAATAAAAGGCTTTTTATTTTATTTTATTTTTATTATTATTATTATATCGTCGAAAGTATTTAATTTTGTGAGAAATAAAAAAATACGTGTCTAAAGTTTTAAATTAATGTACCAGACGGACATTAAAATATAATTTAGGAAACTACCCTATTAAGTTGTGGTTCTGTATTCGGGCGTAGCTGTAGGTTTGACAAAGTGAAAATTTGAATTGTTAAATCTAGTCCTAGGTCTTTGATACTTAGATTTATTTAGATTTAACACCTTACCTAGGACCTGCTTTGTAGCAAAGTCAAGTTGTCTGATATATGAATCAACAAGTAAACCTTTTTGGCTCAGGATTAGGGCATGACTCCTTATGACTAGTATTTAAATCTATATTTATCGAGTATTTTTCTTATTAATAAATAATAAATAAAACAAACGGGGTGAGCTAAATAAAACCGTTTAAAACATTTAAAAACTGTTTCAAAAATAGAATCCACGCGTTCATCATACCCAAAGCGTTATCTAAATGACCTTGGAACATACAAAAGAAGTATTGTAAAAGAAGTGGTGCGGTGGCTGGGCAACCGGCTGCCGCGCAGCGTGCCGCGGGTTCGATTCCCGCACGGAACAACACTTTGTGTGATCCACAAATTGTTGTTTCGGGCCTGGGCGTCAAGTATATGTGACATTGTATGTTTGTAAACGCACCCACGACACAGGAGAAAATCCTAGAGTGGGGCAAAGTTTTTTTAAAAAAAAAATATTACTAACCTCAAAAATTATGAGCACATACAGGGCTCCCAGTAGCACACACGCGTAGATGACCCCAGTAGAGATATCCAGGGGGTCCATTGTATAACTTAACGCGAAGGGCGTCGTTGTATTCACATTGGTCTTCATTTTCAAAAAATAACTCGCGTTCGGACCCGAACTTGCATCCATTTTGAGGACAGTGATTCTCGTTTCACCTTCTGTGAAGTCTATTTCATCTTCTGGATCCAATATGATTGTCCAGCGAGGAGACTGAAGGAAAAAGTAAAATTATAGTACCTATAAATCGAACCCGCGACCCGTGCGACTGCCGGGCAAGGGGTCTCCCCTTGCCCGGCAGTCGCACTTGCGACCACTCGGCCAACGAGGCTCGAGTTCGATTCCAGGGGCGGGCAAAGTATTACTGGGTTTTTAAAAAATTCTCAGTAGTAGCACGGCGTCTGGAATTGTGCCCGGTATATGGCAATAGGCTCACCCCCTATTACAGGGGACTCATAACATAAATAGTGAAAAGTGGGTATTACATTGTATAGTGGCATAATGTGCACCTCTGCCCTTCTAACCCTTCGGGGATAAAAAGGCGTGATGTTATGTTATAATATAAATGCGAAAAGTAAGTTTATGTGTTTGTGTGTTTGATTTTTACTGAATCACGTCAAAGCGGCTTAAGAGATCAGGATGAGATTTGGACCAGGGGTAGATTTTTTTATGTGATGAGCCGATAAACGATCAGACGGATCACCTCATGGATGGATATCCTAAGGTATTTCAAGTGCCTTACCGGCCTTTTGGCGATTAGGAAATTGAGGATTGTTGGGCATTCGGGGAATCCTGCCATCATCACAAAGATATCTGACTGAAGATTGACTGAAGATATCTGACTTACCCGATTAATTTCGTTCTTCGAAGCAGTTGGAGCACTTTCCACCCAAACATCCATTTTGCCCATGGACATAAGTTGACTGGAATTGAATTTTTTCTCATTTTGTTCTGATACAAAAGGTCCTGTAAGCTTCAGAGATACTGATAGGAGGTCCTGTGCCGTGTGTAGAGGATAACCTGGGGAACAGAAGCATATAGGCTTTAATAGGTTATTGAATATAGTCATCATCATCATAAATAGCCTACAAGTGCCCACTAACGAGCTTAGAAGGTTTGAGCATTAATCACCAGGATCTTCATCTTACGCGTAAAATCAACTGGACCGGTTCTCGAAAACAGCGGTGGGGCAGCGGCACGGGGGCAGGCGAGCGGTGCACTCCAGTCAAGCGGTGCCCACAATAATGTTTCATATCGGTGCATTCAAGAGGTTAAGAAAGGTTATTGATTTCGGTCAATATGGAAGTCATTGGGGTAGGCCTATGTTCTGCAGTGGACGTCTCACGGCTGACATGACGATGACGATGATGATGTTAATGATGAGTCGGCTGATACCACGCCTGTGCGAAGTGTAGGAGTGGGTATACTCTACGGTTTTTTAAGGGGGAAAAATCCTCGAATGACTTCTTCCGCCTGGGTGAGGCGGGAGGGAGTGTCAGACTCTTACTGACTAAATACCACGCTGTTCCTACTATTGCCCTTCGAGCCGGAGCTATAATTTACTTTACAGTATGTAGCAAGCGGTAAGAACAATTTCAGATAATAATGGTATTAGATACACAAATTAATCACGATACAAGATAATCTATACCAATATTATTGCTAAGGAGTTGGTTGTATGTCCATGCTAATCTCTTAAACGAGGGCAAACCGGTTAGGTATTTAAATTTGCAAACTTAATCGCGTAACGCAATAAAAAATCACATGTTTTCAAAGACTATAGAGTATCTTAGATGGATTTTTGGAAAAAACCAAATTGTTCAAACTCGAGAATCCAACCCGAGATTCTTTGGATACCATGGCAGTCACGTTTGTGACCACTCGACCTGTCGATAGCCTCTCTAAGGATAGTAAGGTATTTATTAAAAACTTTTATCCTAAAAATACGACGATCCTTGCCGAAAAATCCTAGTTCTATAAAATTAAAGGGGCTAAACCCCTATTCTCAAAATTCCAAAATGTAAAGGCACTTAAGTTTTGTGTTGCGACTTTGCGAGAGTCTATGGCGCCGATTGCTTACCGTCAGGTGTTCCATCTACTCGTCTGTCGTTCTACAAAAAATACTTACTCTTAATTTCTCCAGGTGCCACTGAAGAGTGCCTGGTGACTTCCTCCTTCTCATTGTACATCAGGAAGACTATGGTAAAGAACATCCAACAGGCTACCAGTATCGTCATCTTCACCAAGTGTCCAGCTCGAGCGGTCTGGTGACAAAATATCAGCATTATTATCATTATCCGCTAGAACACGTTGCTATTTAGGAACTGGCCCTTGTTCAGCTATGGGCAAAATAGAGGTATAATTGTTTTAAATTTTATGTACTGTCTTTCAAAGAGAGAAAAGCGGAGTTTCATGGAGTGCAAGAGTGGTAGACAGATCTCATCACTGCGGGTGATCAGACCTGCGTCTCAAAAAAAACTCTCATGAAACTACGCTTGCGTTGTTACTCCTCACGGCCAAAAGACACGCTATTGTAACGCACGTTATTGTAACGCTTAAGGTGTTGTGCGAGTCCTAGCTGTATTGTTATCTTACTATAAGACGATTCTTCGGGTAGTTTGCGGTTTTATTGCATAAAAAAAGAGTGAGGAAATACAGTCTTACCTTTGTAGGCTTCTTCGGTTCGGGAACTTCTTCAAGTCTGAGGACAAAATAAGAAGGAATTAATATTCATCATCATCATCAGCAGCTCCTTACTATCCACCGCTAGACCATGAGCTTTCTTGTGTGGGGTTTGTCACAATCACAATACTGAGTAAGTCAATTAAAGACTTAGTTTAAGGGGTTCATGTTTATCAGGGGGTGCTGTTGGGGATATTGGGGAGGGGGTAATTGGGCCTTTATGGCTAAATATGCGGATTCGGAGGTACAATATCCCCTAACGACTGGTAACTGTCTTGAAACTCCTCTGATGTTACGGGTATCCTTGAGAGGCGCGGTGTTTGCTTGCTTACCATCAGGTGTTCTGTTTGCTCGTATGCCCCTAAAAATCACATAAACAGTATTATTACTAGATAGTATACCCACATCTTCTCCTTCTTCTCTTCAATAGAAGGGCATTTACTGTTGGTATTAAGGAATACGACCTCCTCCCTTGGAAGTTGTAGGTTGTTATTGAGATGAGGTGCTGAGTTGACCAAGGGAAGTCGTTTCGTGGAGCCATTCTTGGTTTTACGGGGAACTCCATTGCCTCCTGTGAAAAGAAATGTGTTATAATCATCATCTGGATATTTTCAAAGGTCTAGTGAATAATTGGATGTCGTGGTGGCCCGGAGGTTTAAGACGCCCGCTTCTCATGCCTGAAGGTGCGAAACCTACCAACTGCGAGTACCAATGTGACTTTCTCCGGGTTATATGTGCTCTCTAAGATTATTAAGACACCACTGACAAACGGTGAAGGAAAACATCGTGAAGAAACCTGGGCATATAATTTCTAATTATAAGTTTGTAATCGCCAACCCGCATTGAGCAAACGTGGTGCTCAAACCTACTCCGTGTGAGAAGAGGTTTTGCTCAGCAGTGGGCATTTATAGGCTGTTGGTGATGATTGAATAATTTGGTAACATGTTCCGTCGTAGGCGGCATCATCGTTTTCCACCAGGCGAGACAGATAAAAAACCGACCAATTATGAAAAAAAAAATTGTGCGTGGCAGCAAATC